TTTCTCTTGGGTCAAGAGTTTACAATGTTAAGTAGCTCAACCTCCTTCACCCTGAGGCTTTCCCTACCTGAACTGTGCAGTAAAAATTCCCCTCACCCACAATTCTGGATCGGTGTGACAGCATGTCAAGGACGACTGAAGCTGTTCAGACATATCCCAAATGCAAAGGGACACTCTGAGGCACATCATTGCGTTGTGTTCTCTTAAACAATAAAGTGTGTATGTGGCTGCGTTACACCCACAGTTGAGCAGCAGCCCCTGCAGTACCTATATTTAGGACTACTGGTAAGCCTATTATCTGTTACAATGAAGCTGCCCCCACTGCCCCGATGGAAGATTGAAAACTGCACCGTATTGTGCGATAAGCTGCTGAGAAATTCTGCAATTAAAAATGTTGTATGCTGCAGATGCATGCGCGTTTGGCAGGTTATTAGGTACACATGGCTAAAACTAAGTCAATTAAACCAGCTGTGAAAAAAAATCCTACCATCAGAAGAGTTGTTTATTTTTGAGAGGTGTTTCTAGACATTTTGGAGGCTGAATGGTGCAGTATAACATCTCCTCTACCCTTGCTGACATTAACAGCATAGCACCATTTTCTACAGGCTCAAAAACGACTTTAAAGTGGAATGTGGTCTTCCTAAAAACAGCTGCAACACAAAATGAACATTGTGTGAATTCAGGATATGTGGAGGGGTTGTTGTCCTATCAGATCTCATTCATTTTTGGGAAGGTGCAGCTAATAACCGGGCAATTAACTGAATATTACAGCTGACTGGTACTTTCTCTGTTGAAGTGCAGTTTTTAAGGTTAAAATCTGTGACGCAATAACTTATAGGAAAGTATAGGTACTTCCAGTGAACAGTTACAGAGCACATGTCACATCCAGTAATGTGATACTGAAATGATGCAACAACGTATGCTAGCTAGCTATACCGTCTGATTAAAAGTGAAAACTTAACACAAGAAGCTTTAGCTGTGTTTGTGGTTTTGTGGTGTTAGCTTTTGCCGACAAAAACACCCCAGCTCATGTTGTACATTCATGTATTAAGAAGGCAGCGTGGAGCTTCATGTGAGTGACGGGCACCAACAGTCCCAACTGACATGTTAGCTTAACAGCTAGCCGCCGTGTTGTTAGCATGTAGCCGGGGCGCTCTAAGTTAACTTAAATTAACGTAACCCCCTTAACAGTCTTTTGTTCTCTTCATTTTGTTGTTTGTCTGGGTTACATGTATCTAAGCCACTTTAACACCACGAGGTCCCACTTTAAAAAAATAAGTGTGACATGGGTAACTTAGTTAACGTTACAGAGAGGATGACCGGGGTACTTAGTGGACAGCTGACATACAACAACACGCTAACAGTAACATAGTAACCTGACCTTGTGTGAGAGGCTATGCTATCAGGCTAATTGTCATGTTAGCAGAGATATAAATGAGAAACTTACCGGGGTGTCCCTCTCCGACAGATTCAGAAGTGAAGAGGAAGCCGTTTTCATCGCAGTTGTTATGGAAACCGTTCTGGTGGCCGTTCATTTTGAGCCAATAAACACACTGTTAGCTAACAAGCTAGCTGCTCAGATACTATAGTTAGAAGGAGCCGGGTGGGTATTTCCACAGCTGTTACCTGTATCTCCTGCTCACACACGCAAAGGGTGACCACGCTGTTCGAGGACTCAGCTCACCGGGTGTAATGTAGCGTGGTCCAGACGGCTGTATTTATCTGACTAAACAACTTCCTCAGACCCTTCAAGTGATTTCTCCGTAGCCAATGCTGTTGTTGGGCACAGACCACGTGGTGCAAATGGGCGTGAGCTAATTAGCAAACAACAGTCCCTGGGCTAACAGTACTACATGAGTAACTCCAGGCTACCACCCCAACAGCTGCTACATACAGTATTGTGTTTACCCGGACAGTGGTTATCAGTCTGTTTGGCTCGAGGCCCTTATAATGACGTAATACCTACTTAATGTAGGCTATATGCAGCAGCAATTATCCCATGTTTACTCCAGCACCATCTCCATTACTCTCCTACTGCTTTAAACACTCCACTGTGATATACCTTTTTATGCATATTTATATCTGTACATTTTATAGTTATTGTATTTTTCTCAGGGTATTAAAAACATGACTGTTAATATTCCAGAATCACCCAGAAGGCTAGTTTTCATCTGTCGTCCCTGGCAAGGTGGGAGTTTGGCAGCCTAAAAGCAAGAAACAACTTCAAGAATAATAACCATGAGGCAAAGCATATCAGTTATAATAAGAACAAAACAAAGACAGACATAAACTGAACACAGACATGGGCAGACTCAATTACAGTTCAGCAAAGCAAAAACAGACAGTACTGTACATCTTATATTACATTACATTTCAGCTTCACGGAAACAGACACAAGCAAAAGCAAATATGAGCAGCGAGACAACAGTAGCACTAAGGTTAGTCAAGCGACAGGGACATTTAGCAGCATACAAATTGTGTTTTTTATTTAATTTAATTTTATATACTTTATTAATCCCAAAGGGGAAATTCAACTTTTCACTCTGTTGTCATATACATACACACAGGCCTGAAATACACACACATGCACAAACAGGACCTGTACATGCATTAAATGGAGAGATGTCAGATGCCTTGGATGGGGTGCATTGCCTGGGGGCACTTCGGTGGTAACCTGGCACCTCTCAAGCTGCCAGTCCATGCTCCATATTTGGTCTTAATGGGGCTCGACCTGGTGACCCTCTGGTTCTCAACCCAGGTCCCTATGTGCTGAGCTACTGCCGCCCCAGTTAAGACATTTGCCAAATAATAAGTTATCCACACTAGCGTCATATTCAATTATATTTGCTTTGTTCAGCCATGTTGTGCTTGTTTTAGCTGTATGTCTATTTCTTTGTATGCACATCATTAACATAGAGTCAAATTCCTTGTATGTGATCACAAACTTGGCCATTAAAGCTGATTATGTTTCTAAGGCATTATCAAAGATTATGGCTTTAGAGGGCTGAAATCAGTGGTGTAGTGGAGGGTACACGCAGGTATACAAGGTATAGCCAGCTCTTTTTCTGGCCATTTATTGGCCAAAAAGCCATTGGAATATATAGTACAGTATATCCCCTTCAGTAACCTAACTAACCAGTCTATCTAGCCGTACACCCACCTCGTAAACTACCACTGCACCACTGGCTGAAATATTCCAATCTCAGATTTGTCTCAATTTAAGGACATTTAGAGTCTTTAAACAGCTGACAGGTAAAGGGTTTCACATCATTAAAGAATCTTTAGAGGCTCGAAGAGGTGAAAGTATCAAATATTCTGCTTGTTTGAAGATTTGTAGAGGCCAGAGGGCAAAGCAGCTTTGTTTATACAGCACATTTCAAACAGGTTAAAGTTCTTTGCATAGGCAACAGCAAGCATTAGAATGACACCCAAAATCAGCAGGTGATAAAAAGAGAAAACAAAACAATTAAAATATAAAAAATGGATTTAAAAATAGATAAAATGAAATAACACAAAAAGAATAGACTAGAAATAGAGTTAGAGTACAGCAACAAGTTGTAAATTGCCCCAAACGCAACAAAAGGAAGAGGCGAAAGTATTTTTAATGATTTTAAAAGGCCTTAAGAGGTGACAGTATTGAGCATTTAACTTACTTAAGGTATTTCTAAAGGCCTGCAAAAACGGATGTATTGATAATTTCACTTATTTGGGGATTTTTAGAGGAATAAAGAGATGGAAGCATAGCCTGTTCCTCTTGTTTGAGGACTGGTAAGCGCCGGAGGGTGAGGCAAACAGAGCAACAATTTAACATGAGATAAGACAAGAATTAGAGTGACTTGCAGAAACAACCAGCAGACACAGAATTACAATTAAGACAGAATTAAATGAAAAAAAAAAAATCCAAATGGTATAGACCAGAAATAGAGTCAGAGTGCAGATATGCAAATGTGACAAAATGAAGAGCAGAAAGTATCAAGCATTTGACTTACTGTAAGGATTTTAAGAGGTGAGACTATGACGTATTTTGCATATTTTAATAATTTTAATAGGTTTAAAACGGTGAATGTATTGAGTGTTTCACTTTGTTTAGGATTTTAGGGATTTTTGACACTTGAAGAAGTGAATGTATCTAGTGTTTTACTTATTTCAAGGATTTTAAAAGGTCTGAAAGGTAAAAAATATCAAGTATTTTAAGGATTTTTAGATAATTTATAGGAAAATAGCAGAAAGATAAACACTTGTATGTAAAAGTTTTTTTTCCACATCCGTGTCATCATCTGGAGGCTCCTCAGATTTTTCTCAGTTCCTAACCCCCGGCTTGGGAGCCACTGACTTAGAATGTCCTTGTCCTTATTTGAACCCTTCATCTAAAAATCCCATCAGGGAATATAATCACTCATTCACTTCAACAATGTTATATGAATTAAACAGTTTGATTGTTTGCTCAATATGTGGAGAGGGAAAAAACTGTCAGTGGCAGTTGCTTCATTGGATCTGTAATGATGATTGAGGGTTGACCCCGTATGCAGCCAGCTATGCAGTTGGGATCATATGCCTTATTTATAGCTGCTCAACTGATATTATTCAGGGGATGATTCCTCTGTGTGTGTGCGGCTTGTTTTGCCTCTCCTCCCTGGTGTCTATATTTGGTTTTAGACCTGCTTACTAATCCAAAGACTGATTATCTTGATTACAAACATCAGGGCAAACCATAAGCTGTGCACACGCCTCTGAAAAACCTCAAGATCTTCTTTGCCTTAACTAATTGTACGGATGTTTCAATTCTGTTTGGTTGTTTCTATTTGAAAAATGTCAGATTTTTTCACGCCATCTGTGTGTGTGAAGTGACATCAGCATATCAGTGACATCCTGCTGGACGAGCTGTCGCTGCCCAGCCTCACAGACTGATTATGTGTCATTAAGTGAATTGAGTCTATGTATACACTTCTTCTTAACAGCGCGATTGTGTTTGCCCAATAAACAGCATTTTGACCGTTAACTTTGTTTGTTCTTTTATTTGCACACTCACACAGGTACACAACACTGTTTTCCTTGAAGCAAAAACAAACACGTTAGCCTTGACACACGTTCACTGACCTCTATAGAACAGGGGCTGTATTCATAAAGCTGCTAAGAAATGTAACATTGATCTAAGATTAAAGTCACATGTTCACACGTACAGTTCAGACTGACTGCTGTTGTAAATGCTCTACCTCTGCTGCTGAATAATTTCATGAATACAGACCAAGAACTATAGAGTTAAAAGTTGTCATCTGGTCCAAATGTTTCACACATTTAAGTTTTAACACGTAGGCCTACACAACCCCCCCCACACACACACACAAACACACAGACACACACACTCACACGCTCACTCTCTCTATTATGAACTATGATACCATCAATACTTCTGGTCCAGGGTCCTTGTTTTGATACCAGACTGTTGGATCCATATTTCTGTCAGTAATAACTGGTCACATCCGTCACATGTTTACTCCAACTTTGGTTTCACATTCAATATGTTTATGTATGATATAGCTTATGAGTCTATAAAAGCACTTGATTTTGTAATTGATTGACTTGTTGTCAAGAGTCTGTACGCATTTGACTCCAAGATACACACAGTGTATGAGATGATGGTAGAGTCTGAGACAGAGAGCTGCAGGGCTACAATGTGGAATGTTCGCAAACTACATTAGGAGTCACCACATGTGCTGCTTCTACGAGCACAGTGACGTTGTGGGATCAGATCAGATGCTGAATGCATGGATATTGCCGTCGTTCTCCTTGTACTGCACCTCCTTGTAACTATTGATGTCTATATTCTACGCAGTGTCTGTTTCCCCTGTCTTCCCTATCTGTTTGAGCCCTGTGGGGCTAACCTGAGCTGGTCTGTGTTCACCTAAGATGGCAGCGACCAGGGCCTCCGGTGCAGTCACCCCGCTGCCTGGAGACACAGGGCTGCGAGGACTGAGCGGGCTGATGACGGGGGATGTCACAGTGTCGGGGGAGACCAGTCGCTCCTTCTTGGAGCAAGGAGAGCGGCTGCGAGTCTGGCCTTCTTTGGAGCGAGGACAGAGGCTGAGGCCCTGCAGGGAGGGGAGGGGGTTGGAGGTAAGAGCAGGGACAGCGGGGCTGCGGCTGCGACGGTGGCGATGGTGGTGTTTGCCGGTTTTAGGGCTCGGGCTGCGGGAGTTTGGAGCCAGCAGAACCAGAGTGCTGTCGTCTTCTGAGCTGATGTCTGAGCCGTCAGAGCGATGTGCGGTGGGACTGTGGACTGGAATCTTGATCTGTAAGGATGGAGGAATCAAGAGAGGATAAGGTCATGAACAAGGTCGCCAAAAAGGAATTGACTAAACATATATGGGCACGCCTCTCTGTTTGGTTCACATTTTTTATTTCTCCTAGCTATTTGGGATCAGTAGGACCTGATAATAATGAGCATAAAAAACTAAACATTGTCAACAATGATAAAGTCTCAATGTCCTAAAACGAGCTGATAATAAATTCCTAATGTCTTCAAACAAGTACTTCCAAGCACTAATTAACAGTGTGTTAGCTTGTTACTGTTGCTAAAATTGGTGAAATGTGTTGCCATATCAAACAACAAACATTATAAATCATAACGTAAGGCAGGTTTCTTCCTCCTGTCTTATCTATAAACTTGCTAGTTACTGAATTATCTATCAAAGGGCTGTCGGGACAGCTTCTGGGAGTGACTTGATCCACTTAACTCTCCCAAAAAGAACGCAGGATAACACCAGGAGTGGCACCTCACATCCATTCAAATAAAACACAAGAAGCTTGTGCTCTAGAGAAAGGATCAACACTCAGTGAAAAACCTAAGCCCTATGATAAGCTAATATGGCAAGGCTTAACTATACAAACCAATGAGCAGTGATAACTAGCATGTCTTATATACCACTCTGCCAAACTTCATCATAACTCTTATCACCTACACGTAAGGTGCGCGATATTAAATAGTTCCCAAATGTAAGTGAGGAGCAAAATAAAATATGTAAAAAGCTGCAAAATGATGAACGGGAAAAAACAAGACAATCTACTTGATGCGTCCTCACGAAAATAAATCTCCACTTAATCTTACTATCTTACTATATAATGAAGAAAACTCTGTCTGTGTGTTGGTCTGTGTCTCTGTTCCACGTTTTTCTCCTCACTGATTTGGTCAATGCATGTGAAATTTGGCACAGTGGTAGAGGGTCACGGGAGGATGCGAATGACGCAATATTACATCAATTGGCCAAAGGGGGTCTCTATAGCAACCGATTGAAATTGCAAACTTTGAATGGACATATCTCATGGCCGGTATGTCGTAGAGACATGAAACTTTGCACAGAGATGCCTCTCCTCATGAGGAACAAATCTGCCTCAAGAACCCATAACTTCCAGTTATAGAGATTTTCCGCCATTTTGAATTTTTTGAAAAACACTTAAAATCGATCTCTTCCTAGGAAGTTTGACCGATCTGCATGAAACTGGGTGAACACAATCTAGGGACCAATATCTAAAGTTCCCTCTTGGCAAAAGTTGGAAAACTTACTAAAACTGAGCTTCTATAAGGCAATTAATATTGCGGAGAGCGTGGCTCATCACATAAAGGTGTATAACATCTCAAGGGTTTCACCGATCACCATACAACTTTGTAGGCATATGACCACACATAATCTCAGGGGACCCCTCCATTATTGACCCCATCAAACAAAATGGGGGCGCTAGAGAGCTAATTTCTTATCTAGGCCTAACTGCCATATCGATTTTTACTAAACTTGGTAGATATGTAGAACAGGACGCCTCAAGGTGACTGGAGAAATTTAACTCTAATTGGCAACTGGGTGGCGCTATAACAACAGATAAATGCTTTAAAATGGCTAAAATGCGACTGATTGCTGTGGCTCCCCCTGTGGCCAAATGTTTTTGTTTTTTTTTTTTCCAAATTTTTGGTAGCTATGACTAAGTCATGGTATGGTATGCTGAACATAATCACGGAAACTGTCAGTGTGTCATTCTGTCTGTCCCATGTTTTTCTACTCATTGATGTCGTCAACCTATGTGAAACTGCACATAGGCATTGAGGATTGGCATAGGTAGAAGGTGACAAAGCTACTTTTCCCAAAAATTACACTATTAGTATAATCTTTTACAAAGTCGCTTTTAATTGAATTGTATGCATTCACCCCATAATTTACTGCGCACGTGTGTCCTCAAATGCACATCAGCTGTAGCCGAGCAATCGCACTATCAAATTCACAAAAACTCTGTCTGAATACATTGCTCTTCTTAATAGGTTCAACTGACTATTTTTTTTAAAGATATTTTTAAGGACATTTTTTGCCTTTAATTGACAGGACAGTGAAGTGTAAAGGGGGGAGAGAGAGAGGGAGAGACATGCAGCAAAGGGCCACAGGCTGGACTCGAACCCAGGCTGCTGCGGCAACAGCCTTGTACATGGGGCACCTGCTCTATCACTAAGCCACCGACGCCCCTTCAACTGACTATTTAATCTGCAATTTCCTATGACCTGTATCCCAAACACACACCATGTGAAACTGTACATGGGCAACTGTGCACTCAATGGGTATGGACTAGTAAATATATATTTTCAACCATCAAAATGTGATCAGGTTTTGTCCTTTGTCCACGTTTGTGTTGCCATAAGCTGCAGACTGACTTGGCGGAGATGGCTGCCATCTTGTTTTTACATGGATTAGTGTATTGTGCTCTTACTGCCACTAGACTGCACAAAAAAGGTGTCCACGAACAAGGACTAAGCTAAGCAGAATGAAGTGTAAGCTCCAGTAAACCCAAAATGTAATGTCCACGTATGAGGACACAGGGTCTCAGGAGGATAAGGGAGCAGAAAAAAGTAGGAATTGTTGCAATTAATGATAATTTTCATTAAATTATCTGGATGTTATTTTATTAATTGTTTTTTAATTGTTTTTTTTCAGAGAACAGTTTCCAGCCCAACGTACGCTAAACTGACTAACTCACATGCTTATTTTGTCCGACCAAAGGTCCAAAACTCAAAAATTCAGTTATTATTCATTAAGATATCAGTTTACTATCATATATGACAAATAAATCCAAACTTTTTTTGTCATTTAGAAGCTTGAATCATATTATTGTAGCCTTTATAAGGACTGACTAATTGATTAATTGACTTATCATTCCACCTCTAAGCACAGATATCTCAGAATTGTATTTAAAGACAGTATCTGAGTAGATGTACTTTCCTTCTCTGTTTTAACTTGTCACATCTGGGCACACTGGAATTCCCAGTTTGGTGCAGAAGAACTTGTCTGGCCCGCACATCCAGCACCTCTGGGATGAACTGGAATGCAGCCTATTGCCCAACATCAGTGGTCGACTCCACAACTGCTCGTGTTTCTGCAGCCTAGTCTAAAAATCTTGTCGAAAAACTTTCCCTGAGGGGTGGAGGCTGTTATTTAACAGTCGGGTATGACTACTGTAATGCTTAGAATCCACATACTTGCACTGCATTGTCATACTGTTTTAACTTTTGAACTTTGTATGGATATTGACAGACCCTATTTTTCAACAAAAAACACAAGTACATTTATTTTTCATGAATAATGAACTCATTGCAATGAATAGTAATGCTTTAAAAAACAATACTGCATATATATTATGTATATTTGTCATCACTACTCAAAATATCCTCAATTTTTGAAGTACCTGCACAAAACAGTGTGTTCAAACCCTTCTGAGGCAAATGTTCTGTGTACATAAGCAATAGGATGCGTTAGAAGATGATTGTATTATTAGAAATCAGGGCAGTATTTTCCTGTTCATTTTTAAGTGACGCTCTGATCCCCTGTCCATTCCAATGTACAGCTATAAATCTTGAACATGATATTTTGACATATAAGTTATATAACATCTAATCTTGCATAACAAATTATGTACTTTAACAATATGATTAATAGGTGAGTATGTGCCTCGTGCTTTCTCCTTGCCTCAAGGCCAGCCATGCTTGTTAAAAAAATGGGGTGTGGTTTCACTAGAGTCCACTTTGGGTGATGTGGAACACTGTGGTTGGGTTGTAGTTATCCAGCCAAATAAGTTTGTGCATTTGAATGGAGTCAGATGACTGCACTGAGCTCTGAACTCAGCCCCATCAAACACCTTTGGGATGACGCGGAAGGCAGATTGTGAGTCGGCCTAACGCCCAACATCAGTGGCTGACTTCATTATTGCTCTTGACCCTGCAGCCTGGTCTTGTGGGAGTATGGCGTTAATGCTTGGGAGTCCACATATGTACGGCAGTATGTATGTGCATATCCATTCATGAATGCATCATAAGAGGCAGTGAGATGGCTTTCTTTTTGACCTCTGACTTTTGTTACCTGAATTGGTGTCGACAAGCCGACAATGCTGTTCATGTTATTACTGTAGAAACCCAGGATGTAATCACAGTCATCTCTCGGCAAATCCTCCTCAGCAAATGTCACCTGGTCAAGACAGGAACAGAAAAAAATTAACTGTGAATTCAGCTGTCGCACCAAATAAAGTGTGAATTTGATTGTGTGACAGACCTGTGTTGCGTGCTCTCCCTTGGCCCATATGTATGCCTGGTAATCTTTGTGATGTCTGAATCCAACCTGTGCAGAAGCAACAAATGGATCATTTCAAATCCTGAGACTGGGCATCAAATTGTGAGAAACTATCCTGAGCTTCTGAGCAAAACAATCTGAGAGTTACCTTGTATATTGCTACCCAGTCCCACGAGCTGCGCTGATAAGTCGATGCAACAGTGAATCTTACTGTAGCATCTGAGACTTTACACCACTCCTTGTTCACCTGCAGCTCCACCAGGGGCATATCCACCCTGAATGGGAACTATAAAAAAAAAACAAAAACAGCACAAGACAGGTAAGTAAAACAAAAGCAAGCGAAACAAAGAGTGATGTTATTAATGAATGTGGTGAGAGTGTATTTGAGGAATTACTGTCTCACATGCAGTGAAAACACGGCAGACACAGGCTTGTGGTCGCTGATGGTGAAGCCCATGTGACTTCGGTACACATGCTGTTGCACTTTAGTTGCCCCACCCAGCCACGAGGTCAGACCCCGCTGCAGTGCTGCATTGTGGGTTGGAACTGGGGAGCCGGTGCGACGATGGCGCCAGAGGATGCGATCTGTCCAGGCAGGTTTCCTCTTTTTTGCACTGACAGAAAATATGTAAAATGGGACAGACTGTCAAAGCAGGCAGAAACACTTTGACAGCCGTTATGACAAAATAACTAACCTGGTGTCGTACGTATGAGTGCCCACGTCAAACTTATAAGTGGGTGGGAATTTGAGTGGTCCCTCGATGAAGCCTTCCAGGATGGACTCTGTGTTTTTAGCCATGTTGAGCTGCAGATCAAATGATGGAAAAGCAGAGTAGGTCACATGCCTGGACAAAGGCATAACTTTGGTATGAGAGGTGGGTGTGGCACAATAAAACAGGGTGCCTGGGGGTATGGAAAAAAAATCTGTGATTTGAATTCTATTTCCTGCATTTCTATATACATGTAGGAACTACAGAAACTCCTCTGAGGCATTTTTTGGAGTATATCAGAGCAAAATCTGCAGGCAAATCCAACTCTCAGCCAGGATCTGACAGCTGGTTGAGCAGCAGCATATTAAGCACAATTTTTGTGGTTAAAAAAAATGATAAAGAGTTTGAAAGTGTGGGGAGACAAATGGCATTTTGAAATTACACCTGGATGTGCCTAGATGAATCTCATTCACCCTGACAGACTGATATCTATTCACTTTGTGCCACAGCGCCCTCTGCTGGCTGTAGTCAGGGATCAAGAGACAAACAAGTGCTGTAAAGCCTTCCAGAAAAATCCAGGTATGTCTGTGAAGGGGCAAACATGTTAAAAATGCCTCACCTGATCTCGCTCCCACAGAAGAGGCAGCTTATTGCTGTCTATAGCACATTTCACCACATGGATGTCGTAGTCCTCAATGCGGAAATTTAGATCCCCAAACCAAAACACGACACTGGGGACAGAAGAAATACAATTATGACATATCAATTTACAGAAAGGAAAGGATGTTGACATAAAGGCTCTGTTAAATATCATACTTAATTTAATGTTTGTTGCAATATCCTGAGAAAGCTGTAACACCTTCAGTCATAAAAGTTTGTTACTTGAAACTCAAGACACATAAAAGATCAAATAATGAGCCTTTAAGCTCAATAATGTATCATTGGCCCCTAAGATTTATTTATCAATGGCGAGCATCTGCCACAAGTTACAGCTCAGGTCAGGTCTGAAATATTTTGGTGCCAATAGAAACTAAAACAGAATATTTTTCGAGTGAATGTTTGACATCTATTTGTGAATTTTGACGGCTGAATGTTGGTGTTCATCTTTTATATGGATGACCTCTCTTTAGCTGAATTAATGACACTCATCAAATTTTTGAAACTCAGTATTTAAAACTTTGTCTTATATCCTGAGACAAATGATAGAACCCGAGCCAGTGTTGGCTATATTTGGGGTACTGAGAGAGGATAGTGCTCTTAAAGGGACTCACATCCACTGTGGCAAAGTTCGCAACCCTTTTAGCACACACATCAATTCTATTGAACTGGAAAAAGGCACAACCTCATTCTTACACTACATTGATCAAAGATGTTTTGCAACACCTTTAAAACCTCTTACCATTCCTGTAAAATTCACCTAAATCGCCAATCCAAGGCACACCCAGTAGTCAGTAAACTGAAAGATGTTCTTGTTCAGTTTTCAGTGCATGTACATGCATTGTCTCATTTGAAAGGCAACTCTCTGAAGTTTTTTCCCCAACAGTCCGAATCACAGTTATATAAGTTTCAACACACTGAAATAAAAGCTTTTTTGGTCTTCGCCTGAATACATTCTCGAAAAAAAAAAAGATGCTACAGATGACTAACACTCGGAGGTATCAGCTTGGAATCACAATGGGATCATAGCACGAAGCCTCACCTAGTCCAAATTTAAAGTAGATGACAATATCAGAAAATAAACATTTCACATGTTTTTCTAAGGTTCTGTCCAGGTGCTTTAAAAAAAGGGGGTAAAACAATGTATGTAAAGCATGGAAGCTCCTATTGGCTCAAGTGAGGTGTCAACCAAAAGATCAGAGTTTAGCCACCATTTTGATATTGAGGAGTTGCTATATTTACACGCCAATGGATGTTAATACCTACAACAACAAGAGGAATATGACCCCTTCAAATGAGCCAACAGCAGTCTGCGGATATCTATAATATGTTTGGATTTACTGTTTTGCCGGATTCAGATCGTCTGGACCTTTGAGAGTGCATGAGGACCGTTTTTGTTGGAATATTATTGATCTGTAGATTATGATTAACCATACTAGGTGAGTTTGTTCTGTCAGACAAAGGCATTTATTGAACCTGTAGTGATGGTTGTATCTTGAAATGGTCCATGTCAATCGAACTGCAAGGAGCTAAGCTTTTGAAGGATAGGTCATATGAGTAAACCACTTAACTACAGCAAATACAGCAGTTGTTTAGATATCATAATTATCAAATAAAACCCTACAAGGACCCGCAGACAGGAGGTCATATTGTTAAGATTAACTGAGAAAAATTCTGGGAGGTTTCACTGAGATTCTCCATTAAACTTGGCAACCCTTCATTGAGTATGCACAGCCTAGGTGGTAAGTATCCTGTCAACCCTTTGCTACATAACTCGGTAACACCTATTGTGAAATGTCAATAATCGCCATGTTAAACAACATCGTACCTTTGTTAATATTTAAACAGTGTATTTATTGTATGCATCCTATTGTGTGTCCATGTATGTAAATTCTGTGCTGTTTTTTTTTAAATATTCCATATAAGTATTCCATATATGTTAACTAAAACACCAATAAACAAATGTTAAAAAAATGATGTCACCCACTCATGGTCCAGCACACCAGTGGCAGTCCCTCCTTCAAACTGCTGCTGTTGCAGGATGCTTTCAAAGTCTTCCATCCTCTGCTCCAGGTTCCTCATGTGAGCTGGCAGGTGACAGTTGAGAAAGCACACCGGGTGGCCAAACACTGTCATCCTAGCGCTGACACCCCCTTTATTCCCCTTAGAGTGAGAAAAAAGGACAGAGAGAGGACACGGTGATAAATGTATCCCGTTATTCATTAAATAAAGCGATTTTTAAACACCAGCATGTATCAACCATTTCTGTGCTCGGGGACAAAGTCAGGATGTTTTTTCTGCCAGAGTCACAGAACCAGAGAGCCAGACAGCCTGCTGCTGCACTGACCTCAAAGAGAAGGAGACTGCACCAGGGTGATGCTGACATCAACACGCACAGGAGGGTCACACACTGACATATGCACCCACACATGCACGCGCGCCTGCTGCTGGCAGGAGGGAGCACACACGCGTCACCTTTTCGACACCCTGCCCCACACCCTAAATCCCACCGACACAAACCCACCACAAATGTTGCAACGTAATAAATCTCAGAATTCAGAACAGCACGTTTCAATGTGTAGCACATACCCAATATCCCCCCAGTCCTGTGCGCGTACTCTCTGTCTGCACACCTCTGAGGAATGGAAGATGGCAGAACTTAGAGAAAACCAGCAGCAGCACTCCCTGCATACGCTGGGACGCCACCTGAACAGATGACATGAAAAATAATATATTACCGTGGTTTTATAGTGGTACAAATTGTACAGGAGTAAAAAAATCTACAGTGTGACTTATGAGAACAGATTTGAGTCTGGACTGACCAAAACATATCCAAAAGGACTGAGCGTGTCCATGCAGAGCTCACTCCACTGGTCTGAGAAAAGAACATCCTTCAGCCGCTTGTTTATCATGGAGTTGACTTCCTGGAGTCTGTGTGTTGCCAGGAAAGTAGAGAAAAGTCATTAACAAGTGAAAATGAAAGATGAATAAAAAGGACAGTGACGGGTAACAGTAGGGGACGGATCAAAAATGAACACAGATGACTGAGTGGGCAGTCGCGGCTGTCTCTCTGGCACTGCTGAGCCTGGTGGAAATACTTGCTTACCCGATGATAAACATGTCAACGCTCCCATCTGAAACATTTGGTCCGAACAGAGAAGTGATGTCATCTGGCGGGACAGCTGATCCCACGTTCCACGTGACGATGTAGACCCTTTCAGAGGATAGAAACAGTGGAAATGCTGCATTAGATTTGAGCACTCTATACTGTGTACTGTAGGGTGAGCGAGGACATAATCTGTGCTGTAATCCTTAGAGAAATAGCTTTTCACCCGTGGTGCTGTATATAGAAAAAAAAAGATACGCACAATTAAGCACCACTTTGTACCTCGATGATGAGGTGTGTGTGTGTGTGTGTGTGGGTGTGAGTGTGTCAGAGGAGAGAGAGAACCAGAGATGGAGCAAACTGTCCTTTCCAATTAAACTACCAACAACACATTTCATTACACAAAAAAGAAGACACTTATTAGGGCTGCAACTAACATTTATATATTCAATTAATCATTTTTTCTATTGAAAAAATAACAATTACAGTCTCCCGAAATCCAAGGTGATCCAAGGTGTCCTTTAAAGCAGTGGTTCCCAACTGGTTCATCCACAGGGTCCAGGTTTCTCCTTAGTCATTAGTTCAGGGTCCACACGAGGTCCACACGAGGAAAATATATTCAGTGTCATACTTGCATTTGAACATGTCGTCAAACTAGTTTGCTGTCTCTGTTAAGTAGCTGTCCATTAGTTGCTCACTCTACAGCAGGAAACAGCACTTGAACTAAAAGCTCTATGCCGGAAATTCATTGTACTTTAAAGTAAAGTGTGTTTTTTACAAACTTGACACACTCTTGAGTCACCTGCGGTCCATTTAGAAAGGACCCGTGACCTTCAATTATTTTATCTACTCAGGTGTTTTTGTACTCTGAGCAAAAAATATAATATGTGCAATTGTGTTACCTTAAAAACCCAATAAAGCTTAAGTGATAAAAAAAAGAAAGGACCCATGACCCACCAGTTGGGAACCCCTGCTTTAAAGGGATAGGTCAGATCTTTAGAAGTGGGATTGTATGAGGTGCTTATCCATCGTCAGTGTATTACATGCAGCAGATGGCGGTAAAGACGCCTCCAGTTTGGAGAACAGGAGTACCATCTTGGAAGCAAAGCAATGTATTGCTTGGGGTCCGCAACAAAATGTATTTCAGCCACCTAAAAAAAGGTCACACCTAAATTAATCAATATCATTTAAGTGTACGCTATATTGAGAATATTTTCACTGCTTTACCTGACTGGCAGACACGGCTGCTATTGGCCATTTACAGTAGGTGCCCTGAACGGTAATTGCTTTGAAAAGTCACAAAGCTTTACAAACTCTGCATGTATGTTCCTCTACTGATGAACTATAGAACAGGCCTTCAGTAGCTGCTGGAGGCTCTACAGAGGCACACTTGTCTGCATTTCCTGGCTGCAAGGTCGTTAATTAGGTCCTTATATGACAGCTTCTGAGCAAGTTCTGCACTGATACTGAAGACAGCAAGACCATTGAGACATTTCTGTACCATTTTTGAACACAAGTATATTCTAATGAGCTTCAGTTTTTAAAAACTTTGCTCAGCAGAGGCAACTGGCTGTATTAATAACTGTTATAAAAAAGCAAAGTCGTGCTGCTGCTGTTAATGCAAGATTTGTGAGTTGATGCAATACCTATGATTATGATTGATGATTATCATATTGGGCTGTGGTGGTGCGGTTGTCAGACAGCAATTTTTGATGGGGAACTGAATTACATCACTCAAAGGCAGACTCTAGACTCCATTGAGAAAACAGTGATTCAACATTGCTGAACACAGGAGTTGCTGGTTTGCAGCTGCCCCAATCAGTTGTTTTGTTTGTGTTATTGTGTATTGAGTATTGCCAAGTATTCAGCTCTGGTGGCAGAGTGTCGAAGGCACGGGTGGAAGGCCTGCTGTGAGTGGGCTGCAGAGGCTTCGCAGGGCGATCTCTGCACCGGGCCCTGGGACTCTTAGGGATCTGTAGCGACACAGAGCCATCAAGAACATCTTGGAAGCCGCTGAAAAGGCTTCCTGTTGGCTTTGGATTAAGAGGGGTGATGAGTGGTAAAGTGAGCTACATGGACACAAGTCGAGGCCTGATCATATCACATGACTGTGTCTTTAGCTAAAATGGTTAGTTCAGATTCACCAAAGTCACACAGCAACACAAACTAACTGACTGAGGCAGCGGTAGACCAGCAGGTCTTGTGTGAAGTGAGATAAAATGACTGTATTTTATTCAGTGGAGTCTGGTGGCTTTGATGAGAGCATAGATGGAGAACAGAAACAGTTAACGACATCTTTGTTGGAGCAGGCTGTCTGATTGAAAGGTAAAGCAGTGAAAATACCCTAAATGTAGCATACAGCTAAACTGTCATTGATTGTTTTAGGTGGGACTGTTTTTAGGTGGTTAAATATGTTTAGCTGCTGCCCCCATCCACAGCAGTACACTGCTTTATGTCTGTGTCAGCACTCCTGCCACTTCTCCAAACTGGGGGCGTGCCAACAGACATCTACTGTAGGTAATACACTGACTATGGACAAGTATCCGATACAGTCCCACTTCAAAAAAACAAAACAAAACTGAACTATCCCTTTAATGTCTTATTTTTTCCAAAAACCAAAGATATTCACTTTTTTCATAACAGAAAATGAAGAAAAATAACAAATCCTCACATTTAAGAAGTGGGAGCCAACAAATATTTGGCTTTTTTTTTTTTGCTTCAAATATGACTGAAATGATTAATCAGTTAAAATTAGTTGCCAATTCATTTTCTTCCAATTTGATAAATCAGCGATATCATCACTACATCAGTCATTAAACTGGGCTGGTTGCTGTCTGAGTCATGATTTCTGCCCTCACATGAAAACAGTTTTAGCAATAAACATATAGACTTGTATCCAAATTTAATTACTCACAATATTCGACAGACATTGGTCCAAAAGGTTTGAACAGAACTAGGGGCAAAAAGCTTTTAAATACGCAGCCCCAGGAGGACCTGAAATCTGAATTATTCCAGGTAATTTGACTCAATTTTAATGGATCGAGAAAAAGCTTGATCAATGATCTTGGTCAGTGTGATTGCTCATAAATGTTTCACTGATATCGCTAGCAAAGTGCTTCCTGTTTATGTATTGTAACTGTCTTTTTGTGCTGCATTTTAACTAGATGTTGTACTCCCTCATTTGTGATGTGTGATAGTTGTACTTGTCTGATTTCCTTAGTTTGGTCCGTTAGAATATGATGAGGAATGTGTCTTTAAGTGTGACAGTAGGCCTGGCAGAGGTTGCTGCCATCTTAGCACCTCCAAAGACATTATTTTCCCCTCCACATAAACACAGTTCCACAAATTTAAACTGAGTTTTTTTTACAGGCAGCTGATGTTTATGAGCAAGGATCACAACAGAAGTATGCCTCTGGGAAGTCTGCCAACAAAATGTGGCTGTGTCACTCTATCAGGTTCACAAAGCTCTTAGTGAAATGTGCAGCTTTGATTCATGTGACATGGTCTGGCACGCATCAGCTTTCTTACAGCCGCTGACTGCAGGACAGCTCCTGCAGCTGTATTTAGACATGACAGGGAACAACATTCACAGCACAGAATCCTTTTGAAGCATCATACAGGCTACGTAATGTTTTAATAAAAGTGGCATTATTTGTCTCACCTGAAGTCATCATTGTCTCCTGCTGGCTTCTCGGGCTGCACTTGGCTCTGTGTGGAGCTCCCAGGTGAGGGGGTCCTCTGTGGCTGAGGACTGAGGCTGGATTTGGGGCTGAGGCTGGGGTTGGGATGGGGCAAGGTGGGACTGGGGCTCAGGTAAGGCTGGCTGGTGTAAGACTGAGGGCTGCGGGGACTCTGAGGACTGTGACGGCAGAGGGGGGACTCTGTTGGGGAATGCGGCAGGACATTGGCACTCTGAGGTCCTGGGATACAAACTGGGATCAAATCTATTTCCTTGGAGGGGTCCACTAAAAGTCTGGTTGTCTTTGGAGCAGGTTTAGTCCCGAGAGCAGTCGGTCTTGGCCGGCTTATGCTCACCAGAGTTGTTGGTATGGACCCTGCCTTTGTCTGCCCTGACTGCTTCTGGTCTGTCACTTTCACAGGTGCAGGTGCAGGCTGCACAGGGCTCAGTCCAGACTGTTTCTTGAGCGCCTCCGGTGGGCTGATGAGAGGGGGCTCCTGGACTGCGAGCTTTGGAGGTAAACCCGGGCCAACTCCGATCAATGGACAGGGTCCAGGTTGCACTTTGGAACCACAAGGGTCAGTGCTGATTTGCTTCTGCTGCGTGCGCTCCATCAACCTGCAACAGGGAGAATGTGGATAACTGTAACACAATATTTTTTCTTCATAGTGTTTGAGAGAAAAGAATTTCACATGAAAACAATATAATGTGTCCTGCAGACTGCATAAAATGACCTTTGCATCATTTGTCCTTCAGCATGTCTTGATCCTGCCTCCACTTAGCCTCAACACTGGTTAGTGGGTCCTCAGTAAACAGGTAAAACAGCAAAGGATTTGGCTGCAATGAGCTGGAGCTGTGAGGATTTATCACGTAATATTGAGCACCTGTCCACATCATGCTCCCCAGGCATCACTTATGACGTTATCGTGAGTAGGCAATTGGGCTGAGACAGTGACTGAAGAAGTGCTCAAACCTCTGTTGCAAGGCAAAGCATCAAAAGTAAAGTAAAGGTACCCATTTTACAACTGTATATATAACATTGGATTATAACTATGGATGCATTAATGTGTAAGCATTAGTTGCTTTATATTGCACCATAATTGATTAGTTGATTATATTCTGTATTGGTGATTTGAATCTGTAAAATATAGGAACCACAGCTGTAAGACAGATGTATGTACCCAGTTATTTCCAACCAGTGTCTGCAGGAACTAACTTTGTACCTCCGACCTGGATTACATCCTTGTTGCCTAGCAACGCTAATTAGCCTCCTGACCCTTTTTACAGAGCAAAAGACAGAACCGATGGTGATCATTATGGGATGGCATCACAGCGTGGGGCGCTCTGCTGCTCGCCGCTCAGCTACCCGTTTGATGTCTGTCACAGCCGCAGATAACAGAGCACATCAGACAATGTCAACAGACACTGTAGGTCACGAGGAGGAGGAGAACGCCTGACGCGATAGGAGCACCCACCATTTTGTTTACGTGCCCTCCCACACACAGAAATTATACACCTCTCTTAATCATTCATCACATGCAAATTAGGATCTCTTTGTATCAGAGGATCTCATGTGACCACAGTAGTATCCTGCAACACAGAGCTCTGACAGATAGTGATCAGACTGGCTTGAGGTGAATTCACTTTAAAAGTGAAAAGGTAACTTTCATAGATTAAGTACCACAGTGCATGTGGGCCCCTTTCTCATTTTTCACAGTGCATGAGGCTGCAAGTCTGAATGACAGCTCCATTATCTTCAAAGGTGCGAGCTGGGATTCAGGACAAACACCACAAAGATCAATTTTACGCACAAAATCAACACACAGGTGCAGAGAAAACATCTGTCTTACCTTTCATGCGCTTTTTTAATTAAATGTGATGTCCAAGGTGAACCGCAAAGGTGATCTCACAAATTCACAGTGGGGATCAGCATCTGCCTCCTTTTGTCTCGCACGCCAATCAGTACTCCAACAAGACTGTCACATAAAGATGGATTAAACAGTCCGGAGCCGGACCGACCCAGCCAGCCTGCAGGATGGACGGCTGCGACCCCGTCGGTACCACGGACAGACAGCGGACGTCTCCGTCACGGTTGCAGACCGCGCCGCGGGGCTGTCAGGACAGGAGGCGGTCACGGTTGATGTGTCCGGACTCTTGCATGTTGATGTTTGCGCTGCGATACCCGAGCTGATTACACCTCATCCTACTTATCTCTGTCTACAACGCAGCGCAGTTTGACCGGAGCAGATGTGCACTTTTCCGGTCAGCAGCATCCCGCCTCCTGCACCTCCCGCACACCGGCCGTACAGAGACCCATCACGCGCGCTCTCAGTGCACCTCCCTCTCTCTGTGGGCACCTGAGGGGGCGGGCTGAGCTGAGCAGGAGAGGCAAAACAAAAATCAGCTGCCAAAGTGCATCCGGCCAGAAATAATTGAGCATCTGTTATATCAGTGACGCATTAATCTGGCATTAGTGCGTCACTGATGGGGGGAATTGATCAGCATGCCAATATCTAAAATTCAGTTTGGCAAAGCTACCTCGGCTATCTGTGATATGCAATCAATTATACCTACTCTGGGCTTGTTGCTTATAGAGTTACATCTCTGTAGATATAAAAACCGTGTTGATTCTATGTAATTTCATTATTAAATTGAGATTTTGCTAATATTTTCCTCATTTTGTATATTCTAAAAAGATAATCTCAGCTGCTGTTGATGATTGTTGTTATTAATAGTAGTTTTAGTTCTGCTAGAGCATAAGTATATAAATAATTCAGCATATGAACTGTGCAGTGTCAAAATGCTGTGTCAAAACCCCAAAAGTATGTTGATTCTATAACGTCATTATTAAGTTGAGATTTTGCTTATATTGTCCTCATTTTTCATATTAAAAAAAGATAATCTCAACTGCTGCTGCTGATTATTATTAATTGTAACTTTACTTCTAGCAGTGCCTAAGAGTATCTAAATTATTCAGCAGATAAACTGTGCATAGGTCATCATGCTCTGTCACAGCCCCAAGTTTGTAATGCAGATTTATAAATGCACAAATGAAAACCATTTATACCAAAGTCCTCGCTGAAAAGTATTAAATAAAATATGAGGAGCTGCTGAATATTATATTTGACAACATCACCATTTAGTTCCACCGTCAGTTACAGTTAGAGGACAACAGTATGTGTAATGGAATGGATGTTTATTAAATGTGTCTGTAGTACTCACAACCTCAGGCCCTCAACAGCATCATGATAAAAATTTGTTCCCAGCTTCTCTATGGCTCTGACTGGGATTAATGCAGATGTGTAATCTCAGTGGAATGTACTGATCCTAAGCCCCAGCTGTCCACTGAGAGCACATAGACACCTGTCAGGCCCTGCTAACACACAAACCAGTACAGATACTAGACAGCAGCCACTGTGCATTTACATTCACATGATGATTAAATGCTTAAAGGGACAGTTCACCCAAACATTTAAAAACAAACAAACCCAACAACACATAATCCTCCTCTTACCTGTAGTGCTATTTATTAGTCTAGACTGTTTTGGTGTGAGTTACCCGGTGATGAAGAAATCAACCACAGAGATGTCTGCCTTCTCTCCAATATACAGTGCCCTCCAAAAGTATTGAAACAGTGAGTCCAATTCGTTTACTTTTGTTGTTGACTGAAAACATTTGGGTTTGACATCAAAAGATGAATATGAGACAAGAGATCAACATTTCAGCTTTTATTTCCAGGTATTTACATCTGGATCTGATACACAACTTAGAAGATAGCATTATTTGTAATGGAACACAAAATTTTTAGGTGAGCAAAAGTATTGGAACATATAAACTTAAAATAGATTAAAGTGAATGAGACTTAATATTTAGTTGCAAATCCTTTGCTTTCAATAACTGCATCAAGCCTGTGACCCATTGACATCACCAAACTTTTGCATTCTTCTTTTGTGATGCTGTTCCAGGCTTTCACCGCAGTCTCTTTCAGTTGTTGTTTGTTTTGGGGGGTTACTCCCTTCAGTCTCCTCTTCAGCAGGTAAAATGCATGCTCTATTGGGTTTAAGTCTGGAGACTGACTTGGCCAGTCTAAAACCTTCCACTTCTTGCCCCTGATGCACTCCTTTGTTGTTTTGGCAGTGTGTTTTGGGTCGTTATCTTGCTGCATGATGAAGGATCTCCCAATCAGTTTGGTTGCATCTTTCTTTAAATTAGCAGACAAAATGTTTCTGTAGACTTCTGAGTTCATTTTGCTGCTGCCATCATGTGTTACATCATCAATGAAGATGAAAGAGTCCGTCCCAGAAGAAGCCATGCAAGCCCAAGCCATGACATTACCTCCACCGTGTTTCACAGATGAGCTTGTATGTTTGGGATCATGAGCAGATCCTTTCTTTCTCCAAACTTTCGCCTTTCCATCACTTTGGAAAAAGTTAATGTTTGTCTCATCAGTCCATAAAACTTTTTCCCAGAATTTTTGAGACTCATCTCTGTACCTTTTGGCAAATTCTAGCCTGGCCTTGCTAATGAGTGGTTTGCATCATCTGGTGTAGCCTCTGTACTTTTGTTCATGAAGTCTTCTGCGAACAGTAGATTGTGATACCTTCACTCCTGCCCTCTGGAGGTTGTTGCTGATGTCACTAACAGTTGTTTTAGGGTCTTTCTTTACAGCTCTCACAATGTTTCTGTCATCAACTGCTGATGTTTTCCTTGGTCTACCTGTTCGACGTCTGTTGCTTAGTACACCAGTGGTTTCTTTCTTCTTCAGGACATTCCAAATGGTTGTACTGGCTATGGCCAATGTTTGTGCAATGGCTCTGATTGATTGTCCATCTTCTCTCAGATTCACAATTGCTTCTTTTTCACCCATAGACAGCTCTCTGGTTTTCATGTTGGTTCCACCTCTAAATGCAGTCTGCACAGGCAAAACCTATTGTACCCAATCTGAAACTGAGCTCAGACATCCAGTGCTATTTATTGTTTGAATAATCAATGTAATTGGGAAACACCTGGGCAACAAAACACACCTGTCAGTCACATGTTCCAATACTTTTGCTCTCATGAAAAATGGGTGGGTTCAAACAAAAGGTGCTATCTTCTAAGTTGTGTATCAGATCCAGATGTAAATACCTGGAAATAAAAGCTGAAATGTTGATCTCTTGTCCCATATTCATCTTTTGATGTCAAACCCAAATATTTTCAGTCTACAACAAAAATAAAGGAATTGGCCTCACTGTTCCAATACTTTTGGAGGGCACTGTAACAGAACTAGATGGCACTCAGCTTGTGGTGCTCAAAGTGCCAAAAAACTACATTTGAAAAACTCAACAGCAATGTCTCTTTGCAGAAATTATGACCTGGTTCCTCAAGATAATCCACAGACCTTGTTGTGAGCAGTTTCATGCTGGAACTATTTTCCTTCTATTGAAATGCACTTGCCAAACATATCACCGTGCAGAGGGACGCATCTACTTGTGGACGAGAGGCTCAAGCTCATGACAGCTCGAGATGTAAACATTCATAGGGGCCGTACACATGCCACGTCTTTAACAGCCTGGGAAACGTGAGGTCGGGCACTGGGTGCTACTTTTGTGCCAACTCTCAAGAGCGCGGCGACAACAGATACTGTTGGTGGATGTAGTGAAGTAGAGAGAAAATAGTTCCTGCATGAAACTGCTCACAAAAGGTCTGTAGATTATCTTGAGTAACTGGGTCATGATTTCTGGAAAGAGACATTGCTGTTGAGTTTTTCAAATTCATTTTTTGGGTGCTTTGAGCACCACAAGCTGAGTGCCATCTAGTTCCATTATATTCAAGAGAAGGCAGACATCTCTATAGCCGATATCTCCAACACTCTGCAACTCACACCAAAACAATTTAGACTGATAACAGCACTATAGGTAAAAGGAAAAATATGTGTTTTTCATTTGGGGGTGAACGGTCCCTTTAAAATCAACTCAAAATGTAAGTATTCAGTTGAAAAAGGTGCTTAATATTATCTTTTTGACCTCAGCTCACACGTATGTGTATTAATTATAAAAATTTAAAATCACAGCCAATCTTGAAAGCTGTCAGACTCTACACTCGCTTCTTGGTTTTGACCAGGCCTTTCTCCACCAGGCAGCGGTAGAACTCCTGGATGTATGTGTAAACACACTTCCAGTCGGGCTCTTTCATCCGGACTAAGTCATCGGCGTCCAGCAGAGGGGGGCAGCCTGCCAGCCTCCTGCAGATACAGAGAGAGAGAGAGGGCGCCACTGACAAACGACTTGAGACAAACTATGACAGAGAACTATAAAGTGACTTTGTTTTATCTGCAATGCACTGCTGGAGTTTGTTCCAGACAAGATGCATCTGCTTCTTCATATAAGGAGTGACAGCTCACTCTGCAGTGCTGAAAGCCAGCTGGAAGTTGTCTCTAGGCTTGTTGGGGTTGAGGATGGAGTACTCAAACGCATCGGGGAAGAAGCGATGCACCAAGGCACAGAAGGCTATGCCATCCCTCCAACTTGAGGAGAAGTTCTGGATGTCCACCCCCTGTTTCGCACCAGAGGGGAGTCAGTTTAGAAGAAATGGTGGCAGAGATCGAGACACAAGGGGCAGAGCTATGTATAGCTCCACTGGGCAATAATTCACAGACAAAGAGAGTCAGGGCATGTTTACCTCATATGGCTCTGTTTTGGCCCTGCACCAGTCCAGAAGCATCTGTTTGACATTTTTAACATTGGGTGCTGCACCAGGACATTTCTGGGCTGAGGCCACAGCAGGACTGGCCTTGCTGAGGAGAGGAAACAAGGAGATTTACACTGCATGAACAAAAAGTAGTTTACCTCATGTTTCAACTGTGCAAATGTTTTGCCTGACAAAAGTATTTTTCTCCCTTTTTGGGTGAATTTCTAAACATACAAGAGGACTTTTCTTAGCAGCCATCAGACCCACAATAGATATCTCATTAGGACTTTACCTCACAGGTAGCACTATGTAACATCTTGCAGATCTGGCGGTCCAGTGTGTAGGATTTAGGGGGTTATATTGGCAGAAATGGAATATAATATAATAAGTATGTTGTCTTTAGTGTATAATCACATGAAAATATGAATCATTGTGTGTTTGTTACCTTAGAGTGAGGCATTTATCTACATAGGAAGCAGGCCCTTGTCAGCGGAGATCATCTCCAACATGCCAAACAGCATAGGAGAAACTGACTTTTTAACATGAAAGTGCTTTATTAAGTGTTTTTTATCAGTTTTAATCACCAGGTCCGTTTGTTTTGGAGAGGAAGAGACTTACAGATAATTCGGCTCATGGGAAAAA